CCACACCTCCACCGCTGGCCAGAAGCCCTCAGGAAGACCTTTACATCCCGGAGGAAACGTTGAATCTGAGACTTTGGGCATTTTCTGCTACAGCTTAATGCGAATCATACCTCCGCAGTAACGCAATAAAGTAATCGAGGTTATGTCTTTTAGGGAATAATTTATCTAAAATTACGATACTGGATTATTTCTACCATGTGCCTTCGTAAAAAGCTCTGATATACTTTTATTCATCACTTGCTTTCTACTGATCATTAAAAGGCAACGTTTTGTCGTTAGCTACGCATTTTTTAGTGTTGTCGCTTTGTGATGACGCGGTTGTTGCGACTAAAGGCAATATTTAATGTATGCACAGGAGGGCGCCATTTCTCTCTGTTTGGTGTGGCGCTTTGAACCCCTTTTCCTACAAGGATGGATGGATGGATGCATTGATACATCATAATTATTTTAATAGTTTATTTTTCTGTTAAATTCGTATTTTAACCTATAAACACTGAAATGGTTGCCTTTTGACCAATCCTGAACATATTTTTAACACCTCTCTGGACCGATCCATAGTGCCAGCATGCTGCCACCATTATTCCAGTGCCAAAGAAGCCTCGGGTCACCTCATTGCCTGTTGTACTGACTCCAATCATGATGAAGTGCTTAAAAAAGGCTGGTTAAAGAACACATTGTCTCCAGTCTTCTCCCCAACATTCGACCCGTTCCAGTTCTACCAACGGAACCGCTCCACTGAGGACGCCATCTCCTCTGCTCTCCACCTGAGCCTGGCACACCTGGAGGAGAAGAACACCCACGTGCAGATGCTATTCCTGGACTTCAGATCAGCTTTAAACACCATCATCCCACAACATCTGATGGGCAAACTGGAACAGCTGGGATTCCATACACCCCTCTGCATCTGTAACAGCATTTTCCCCAATGCCATCAGATTGCTGAATGTTTTGTAAAATGGGTTATTTTATTGTATTTTATTATATTTATTATATTTTATCATTATATATAAAAATAACTGAAATGCTAGAACTGTAAATTTACAGTCATATTTTTATATTACTGTTTTTATATTTTTTTTTTACTATTTTTCAAGGCTGCACTTAAAAAAAATGAAATTGTCTAGAGAGCGGTTCTAAAAGAAATTTCTTTTTGTTTTACACTTATGTAAACAAAACGACAAATAAATCTGTCTAAGTCTATGCTGTTCCAATTTCTTTGTGTGACCTGTATGTGTCCCCTTTGAGCTCTTGGTGAAATTTTGTCTTGGGAAGGGTTATCACCGCTTCCTGTTTCCCTCACTTGTGGACGATGGCTCTTACTAGGGTTCACTGGAGTTACAAAGTCTTAAAAGTGTCAACGAGTGTAGTTCTCATTGGTTCTTAATTACTTTAGACTGGAGCCAGAATTTTTACTCAGATCTTTTAACCTTCTTCGTGTGGCAGTAAGGTTCTATGTATGAGTTTCATTGAGGTCTGAGTAATGAGGTTTGAGTGGGGAAAATCCACTAAAACCAGATGATTAAAAGCAGTCATTTCATCATTCAAAAACTGATGCAATTATTTTTAGCTGTAGAGAATATAATAGAACAAAACAGAATAGAATAGAAAATCCCTTTGTTGTCCCACAATGGGGAAATTCCGGTGATTAAAGCAGCAAAAAGATTATAGCAAAAGTGATCACACAAATGTGGAGCTTAGAAAAGCATATAAAATCACAAATTGAAGAGTTAAAAATAATAAAATACATACTGTACTGTACAGTGTATTTACAACATAAATACGGTGCATCTGGAAAATAAATAACCAATATACAGCTATGGACATCTTTACAGTAATGGCTATTTAAAAATAGCAGCAACATCAGAGATGATGGTGTTTTATTGAGGTCTGAGTAGTGAGGTTGGAGTGTAAGCTAGGGAAAAAATGCACCAAAACCAGCATATTAAACACTGATATTTCATCATTCAAAAAGTGATGCAATTATTTTTAGCAATGTAATGTTTTTATAATGTAAGGTATAAAAATGATGTTAATTTTAGGCATAGAGAACATAAAATTGGTGTTATTTTTTTATTCAATCTTTTTTTTTTTTATTTCTTCTATTTGGAATATTATGTTGAATATTTTACAACGGTAATTATGTTTTGATTGTAACTTTATTTTCCTGTAAGCAAAGTAAACTGTGATTTAAAGTGATGGATGCTGAGTACAAAACAACCTGTTAAAATATTTGACTATTACGCACATCTTTGACCTTTTAAGATCCATTGGGATTATCTTAAAACGTTAACTATTTCTATAGGGACACTTAATACATTTTCTATATATTTGGGGGTTTTATTACAGTTTCATTATTGTTACATTTCAATTAAAGATCATGACCATGCCCTGTATATTTAGAGTGGGACCACGGCCCATACTGGAGGCAGATTTAGTTCTCTTTTTGTTTTCTGTGTACTTTCAGTCACTTTAGGTTTCGTGTTTCTTTCCTCGGTGCAGGTAGTATATTCACTCTAAAATGTCTCCTGTGAAAGCTTCTTTCATCACATGTGTCCCACATGAAACTCTAAGTTTCATTCACTGTAAGCTGACACTGAGAGAGAAACACAATGACATCCTCTCCTTTTTTTGACTCTCAGATGCATCATAACTGCTATTTATTCAAATACAGGTATTAATGTGATAGTAAAAATATATCTAATATATATATATTTATAGAGATATTTAAAGAAACTGATGATTTTAGAATTATATTTAATTGTATTTCATTATAATAATTAATTTGAAATACCAGATTTGTAAATTCTTGTCATGTTAATCTGTCATAATGTCCTTTTTGCTTGTTTAGTGGTTTAAGTTGTAAGATGGATGAAAGACGTGAAAATAAACCCTTGAGACCACTCCTATTTGAAATGCAACTTCACTTAAGTCTTTTGTGTAAGTGTGCATGGGTGTGTTTTTGTGTGTTAGGTAATTTAGGCAAAGAGCAGGGAGTACTGTTGGAAAGATACTGTACCAGGAAGTGCAAAGTTAAGACAAGTCATCCAGTGTGCTGCCAGGTTTGCATTGCTGCCTGACGACAAAGAAAAAAAAGAATCTGGTTAAACTGGTTGGGCAACGGTAGGTATGGCAGAAAGAGAGATAGACAGGAAAGTATTTAAGCATTCAACTGTTGACTCATTGCTGCTGACAAGTTTTACTCTTTGTCTTGATGTGATTAAACACAAAGAATAAAGTAACTTTTATAATAATAAACTTTAAAATCATTATGTTTTAAATGCAAATAATTGAAGTCATGCGGCAGAGAAAACAAGTCTTCAGATGTGTCTAAACAAACAATAGAAGAAACAGGCGGTAGGCAGGATACAAGCAAGAAAAACAAGGATTGTTGTGCCCAAGATTTAAAAAGGTTTTGATAATAGATACTTTGTTTTTTTGGGTGGTGGGGGAGGTAAATATTTCCTTATATATCCAGAGGTGGGTATAGTATCCAAAGATTGTACATAAGTAAGAGTAGCACTACTTCATCATAATTTTACTCAAGTTAAAATGAGCCTTTAAAGAAATTACACAGCTAAAAAAGTATTTTGTAAGAAGGCCACTCAATACTGAATAACTGATGTTTTACCAATGATCAAAACAACTGGTTTAATATTTTACAAAATGAGGTAAATAAAAAAAGTATTAAGGTATATGGAAGTTGTGGTGTTTCAAAGAATAAGATAAATACAACTATAATATACAGTAAGTACAGGGTGAGTAATTTAGGTAGAATTAATGCTATTCAAAATAATTTTTTGAGTTATAAAACTAAAAAAAACAAGAGTTAAATTATGTAGGATTAAGTTAAATTACATTACACTGTTTTTTGCATTTGACCTCAACCTCCAAATGATAAGGCAGACTGAGCTGATGGAATGTAACTAGTGACTATCCGACTCTGTCTATATATAACTAACTGATAAAGATCACACTGAACACTGGATATGTGAGATTTATTCCATCCATTTCAACTAGCTAACTAAACTAACTAACTAAGTAACTGACTATCTAGTTAGCCAGCAACTTTTAGTCAGCTAACTAATTAATTAGTTGGATACCTAATTAACCAATCAGCTAACTAGCTACATAGTTAGCTGACAAACTAATTAGTTAGTCAACGAATTTACTTGCCAACCAACTAACTAACTAATTAGCTGGCTAACTAGTACCTGACTAATTAAATAACTAACTAACCAACTAACTAGTTAGCTAGCCAACCGACCAACGAACTAAGTACATAACAAGTTAGCTAACTAAATATCTAGTTAGTTGGCTACTAGGTAACTAAACAACTAGCTAACTAAATAAATAACTAGTAAGCTAACTAAATAACTGGAACTGTTCAAAGAATAAAAATTAGTTTCAGTAGCTGCTGACTAAGCTAAAAACGTCACTTTTAGAGGAGAGCATTGTTAACCAAAAGCTAGCTATCTAAAAATCTCTTGTTGGATCTAAAAATGGCGGCTCTATATATGAAATCTAATTTAAAAATAAATAAATAAATGAAAAGCCTAATAGATGTTTGACTATTAACACTGCTTTCTACGGAGCCCCCTAGGGGACATGGGGAATTTTTTTCTTTTGCGTTCCCTCGCAATACTTTTGCGTTCCCTCGCAATACTTTTGCGTTCCCTCGCAAAACCTTTTGCGTTACCTCGCAATAGGGCTTGGTCGTCGTGACCATGTTGACGGCGCACTTTACGGCTTCCTTAGACTATTGCCTGTGTTCTCCCTCTCAGCCGTGTTTTATTTCGTTTAATTTCACCGTAACTTGATTTCAACCATGGTAAACCGTTGCTGTATTGTGGGCTGTAACAGCGCATCACATGATCGCCGAGGGAAAAACCTACAAAATGGGATAACTTTCCACCGCTGTTCTGCCTGGAGGCGCAAACACGGAGACCAAGTTTCACAGATAACAAAGAGTCGTCGGCTAGCTTGGATCGCGGCTGTAAGACGACAGAACAGAACTTTCCACAGTATCCTGATGTCAATGCGAGTGTGTTCCCTGCATTTTCATTCTGGTAAGTTAAAGATGCACGGTTTTATTTTATAGCCTACAGTGTTTCCTTCCTTCATCCGTGGCACCACATACAAGCATGAACGCGCGCCCAGAGACTGTTGATATAGCATTTTCATCCTCGTTGGTTGATATAGCATTTTATCCTCTTTGGTAGAACACACTGCCAGTTCCTACAAGGACAGGGACATCCCTCTCCATTTTCAAAAAAAACCCTGAGGTTGACAGCTGTCATAGCACCACTTATAAATTTTGCTGATCCTAGCGCTTACCAGCCGTCTTGTAATGTAATGTAATCATATAATACAATTTAATAATGTGTATATTGAGGATCATTGATAACATTATGGTTCTATATGTGTTCAACACTGCTGCTGTGGATAATAATTTTAAATTGTGTCACCAGGAAAACCAGCAAATGAAATGTACACCTCGCATCCGGATTGGGCACCATCACTACACTTGGGCCACACTGAGATAAAGGCCACACAGACTGCACGCTATGAGAGACAGGAAAAGAGAAAACGGCAAAGGACTGACAGTACACCTGCGAGGATGAGACAGCTATTGATGACCTTGTTCCACCCGGTAAGCCTTACAGAGCCAGCAGATTCAACACCGTATGTTGCTTTTGTGGCTTTTTCAGCTGCATGATGCACATTTAGCTAAAAGATGTCCTTATTTTATCCATAGTGGAGACACCAGCACCAGCTGAGGATGGAGCTGAGCAGACACCGCTGACAGAATGTGACTTCTGTCAGCGCCGGCGTGCTGAAATCAACCGGCTGCTGGAGGAGAACAGGACCCTGAAACGTGAGCTTGGCCAGAGACTTCAAGCTTAACACTAGCTTTGTGACCATTCATTCAGTGAAAGGAATCTCAAATCTTCATCAAAACATTATTCAAAATATTAAAAAAAAATTTAAGAATAATTTGCTGAAATAGAAATCAGCATTTGTTTGATACTTAGTGTTAGAAAAAAAATGTGTCCTAACAGGTTTTCTGAACCATCTTCTAATCTAGTCTCCCCCAGCTGCTGGTAGAAACAAGATTTTTTTACCATCATTCAGAAACTGGATAGGTGTTACATCTGTATTTTGTTGAAAATCATTTATTGAACATTGTTATTAATAAAATTTTAAGGAATAGATTAAATAGTCAAAGATCCGCAAAATATAAAAAAATAAACAATAGTGCAGTGCTGTGGCCATTCAAGTTAACTCCTAGTTTGAATCAGAGTCTTTCAAAGTGAACTATTTAGAAAAATGAGTGCAGTATTGACTGCGGGTTATTAAATCTGACCTCATAAAACACTGTAACGGGTAACTTTGAGCTTAAATCATTCAGTCAGAGGTATTATGCAGGTTTAAATGTCCTGTGCTCATTTCATTTCTTTTTCTTTTAAGTGATATAACAATATAACAGCGTGGTTGTTATACTTTACTGTTGTATAACTGTGATTTATATGATATGTATACACATGCATGAGGGGTTGAGGTTAACGTTTGCTTTCCAGCATAGAATGAAATATAATGGTGTCCTTACCTGCATAATTTATGTCTATTTTTTTTCTCCTCAGGTCTTGCACTCTCAGCGCATTAATGAGACTCCCCTGAAGCCATGGGTCATCATTGCTGACGATGGGCAGGTTTGCTGTGCACACTGTACATGCATGGCTGGAATTGCAGAGGCATGTACACATGTTGGGGCTCTGCTGTTTAAGATTGAGGCAGCAGTCCGCATCCGTGGGAAAAAGACTGTGACAGATGTGCCAGCTTATTGGAAAATACCAGCAGGTATCAACAAAGTCAGCGGTGAAGTCGCCCACAAGATGGACTTCACTTCATCCAAAGTGCAGAGGATTGCTCTGGACAGAGTCATCGATGACAACATTCCCATGCCTGGCCTACGGACACGGGCCAGCAGACGCACTGCCCAAGCCACATTGGACGACTTATCGTCAATGTTCCCTGTTCTTCAGAACCATAGGTCAGTTTGTATGTCCACAGTGAAGCCCTACTTTCACAACTATGCTGCTCCTGTCCAGCCAGCTGTGATCCCAAAACCCCTGCAAGACCGTCTGCGCGACCCAAAGTTTGAAAATGCTCCACCAGCTGTCCTTCTCCAGCACTGTGAGACAGTGAAAGACATTGCAGCTGCATATTATTGCACGTCGTTATATTACAATACAATTATAGATTATATTATTGTATATCATGACATATTGCATCGCAGCCTTTATTTATACAATTTAAGAAATGCATATTGTTAAAAGTAATTATATAAGACATTGCACTAACATTGTTTTTTAATGTGTACTATAGTACCGGTAATAATTTGCACTACTTCAAATGTTATTGATATCTGTTATTACTTAATTTGATCTACCTCCAATTTTTATGTTTGTAATTGATGTTTCATAAATACGTATTTTTTATTACTTTGGATTTTTTTTTATACATAGACATTTTTTATAAAAAGCATAGTATTTTGTATTATTACATTGTATTGTTATATTTGCATATTATTGCACGTTGTTATATTATACAATTATAGATTATATTATTGTATATCAAGACATATTGCATCGCAGCCTTTATTTATACAATTTAAGTAATGCATATTATTATAAATACTTATATAAGAATTTGCACTAACAGTGTTTAACTGTTAATGTTTACTATAACTACAATTTGTATAATAATAATTTGCAATATCTCCACTTTCCATTTCTCCATTGATGTTTCATTAAGACTGACTTATTAATAGGATTGAACATTTTGTATAAATACATACTATGTTATTGTAAGTAATTGCACTGCATTTTCATCGCGTCCATTTTTTATTTGTAACCATTTACCTACAAGCATTCAAACTGCACTGCTCTGTTCTGCGCTGCACTGTGTTCTCAAGTTTCACTACTTGCAAATAAACACTGAAAAGGATCTGATCGTTTGAGACCTCTTGCTTTTGGGTATGGATGCAAAACACACCTATGGCTAAAAAACAACCCACTTGTTAAATGTTTGCTTAGAGTGTATTGTTGATACAAAGAAATTGTCAATTCCATATTGAGCATCAATCTTTTCTTTAATACAGTAATTCATAAACACCAGAATAAAGTGGTTGACTTTAAGGTGTGGAAGTCCAGTGTAGTATTTCACTTTGACGGTGTCTTCCTTCAGGAAATCTTCATCCATTTTTCTCTGGCCAAGCTCACGTTTCAGGGTCCTGTTCTCCTCCAGCAGCCGGTTGATTTCAGCACGCCGGCGGTGTCTGCTCAGCTCCATCCTCAGCTGGTGCTGGTGTCTCCACTATGGATAAAATAAGGACATCTTTTAGCTAAATGTGCATCATGCAGCTGAAAAAGCCACAAAAGCAACATACGGTGTTGAATCTGCTGGCTCTGTAAGGCTTACCGGGTGGAACAAGGTCATCAATAGCTGTCTCATCCTCGCAGGTGTACTGTCAGTCCTTTGCCGTTTTCTCTTTTCCTGTCTCTCATAGCGTGCAGTCTGTGTGGCCTTTATCTCAGTGTGGCCCAAGTGTAGTGATGGTGCCCAATCCGGATGCGAGGTGTACATTTCATTTGCTGGTTTTCCTGGTGACACAATTTAAAATTATTATCCACAGCAGCAGTGTTGAACACATATAGAACCATAATGTTATCAATGATCCTCAATATACACATTATTAAATTGTATTATATGATTACATTACATTACAAGACGGCTGGTAAGCGCTAGGATCAGCAAAATTTATAAGTGGTGCTATGACAGCTGTCAACCTCAGGGTTTTTTTTGAAAATGGAGAGGGATGTCCCTGTCCTTGTAGGAACTGGCAGTGTGTTCTACCAAAGAGGATAAAATGCTATATCAACCAACGAGGATGAAAATGCTATATCAACAGTCTCTGGGCGCGCGTTCATGCTTGTATGTGGTGCCACGGATGAAGGAAGGAAACACTGTAGGCTATAAAATAAAACCGTGCATCTTTAACTTACCAGAATGAAAATGCAGGGAACACACTCGCATTGACATCAGGATACTGTGGAAAGTTCTGTTCTGTCGTCTTACAGCCGCGATCCAAGCTAGCCGACGACTCTTTGTTATCTGTGAAACTTGGTCTCCGTGTTTGCGCCTCCAGGCAGGAAAGCGTGGAAAGTTATCCCATTTTGTAGGTTTTTCCCTCGGCGATCATGTGATGCGCTGTTACAGCCCACAATACAGCAACGGTTTACCATGGTTGAAATCAAGTTACGGTGAAATTAAACGAAATAAAACACGGCTGAGAGGGAGAACACAGGCAATAGTCTAAGGAAGCCGTAAAGTGCGCCGTCAACATGGTCACGACGACCAAGCCCTATTGCGAGGTAACGCAAAAGGTTTTGCGAGGGAACGCAAAAGTTTTTGCGAGGGAACGCAAAAGTATTGCGAGGTAACGCAAAAGTATTGCGAGGGAACGCAAAAGTATTGCGAGGGAACGCAAAAGTATTGCGAGGGAACGCAAAAGAAAAAAAATTCCCCATGTCCCCTAGGGGGCTCCGTACCGTAGCTTTCTAATTACAGAATAATAAAGTTTTTTTTTTTTTTTTTTTTTTTGTAAATCAGTTTAAAAACATCTTATTTTCTTACTGGAAATTTGGTTAAGGTAAAGGAAACAGAAACATTTCTGTTTTGTGATTTATTTCTTTATTAATTGTGTTTGTTTGTTTGTAGTGAGACAGTCCTATCTGACAGCCCGGTGTTTGCTGAGCTCACCGAGGCTCTGCTGCGTTCAAAGCTCAGGTGAGAAACTCAGAAAGGGGTGTGGTCAGCGGAGAGGCGGAGGGAGTCGCTGGTGACAAACAGGTGAATCACAAGAACACCGTGTGCGACGAATTGTGCCAAAGGATATCCTCCTAATCGATCGCCTCTTTTGGGACATTTCTACGGTAGAATCGGACTGTTCTGGACTTTTCCCTTGCATGGTAATCTGTAAAATATAAAACGATCAGGATCCGAATCAGTTTCCAGAGTCTTCCGTCGAACTTCCAGGTTTCGGAGCCGACATGAATCATCTCTTTCTGTGCGGTTAAAGACACCAAGTGAAGACTGAGCTTTTTTGGATTAACGGTGAGGTTGCCTTAAAATAAAGCAGTATATTCATATAAATCTTTTATTTACGTCATAACTGTGGACTTTTTGTTTTTAGGATTAATTTACTAGTATTAATTAATAAATTAATTAATATACAGGGCTAAATGTCATGCATGAGTCAGGTGTTTCTATCTAGGTTAATCTTGAGTTGCTCACACATAAAAATCACCAAAGTAAACAATAGTTGGATTAACCTCACCTGGTCGTTAAAGGTAACGAATTAAAGTTGGAAAGAGAACAGCAGTTATTTAAGTGACTTTTGAAGCTTCATGGACTGTGAAATAAATAACTGAGCTCATGGCCACATGCATACCTTTAGGCTGGGAGGATTTTCAGTAGCTGAACAGGTTAAACATTCATCCCTCTGTACACAAAAGGCCTGCTGCTTACAGACCTCTCTGCTATGTTCTTGTAATGTTTTTTTTTTTTAATGCACAAGAGAAAAAGTTGGCCTTGCTTCTGTAACTTGGGAGTTGTCCCTTAAAATGAGCACAAGTTGCAGCTTGTAGGTTTCATCATTTGAATCATTAATTTTCTGCAGCCTTGTTAGGCTTCCTGCAGAGGTTCATTCATCCCACTGTGGCTGACAGGATAAAGTTTATGCTTCCTGATTCAAACCTGCTGAGCGATGTGTTGATAAGAGGATTTATAGTTGTATTCAGTAACTTCAGGAGGGGTGGGAGGCTGAAATTACAGCATTTCTATGCAACTCCCTTCTTATCAATATTTACCGTAACAATGGCTAAACTGAAACTGGAAATGGAGACCAGATCAGCCAGAGCATGGCTTAGTATTGAGTCTTGTTGTTCTCTCAACACCTGAGCGGGTAAATAAAGGCAATCTTTGCGAGATCTGGTCAAACTGGTGGCTCTGAAGCTCAGACATGCTTACATTTCCACCTCCTAGTTTTCCACAATGTTGCAGAAGCTTCTGCTGGAATGTGGATGACACTGGTGTTAAATAGGAGGAAAAGCACTGGACCTAAATATTACCAAAAAAAACAAAAAACAATGTATTATCCTTTTCTTTTTTTTTTTCTTTGTTGACAATTCTGTAGCTTTTTGGGAATGTGAATCTTAAAGTTACTGGTTTCTTTTTATTCTAATTAGATGGAAAATAATCAAAGATATCACACACACACAAAAAAAACACAATAATTACTTTATACTTTGTTTTAATTGAATTACTTAAATAAATATGTAAGATATTCTAATTTATGAAGGTGCAATAATGGAACTTAGTATACAGAAAATAACTGAGATTTTTGCTTATTAACAGAAAACTGATCAAACGTTTTACTAGCCCACTTCAAGGGATTCCATTATTTAAGGTTTTCATTGCAAATTACTAACCAAGACCTCAAGGGATGCTTCAATAAACAAAGTGTTTATCAAGGAGAGATACGTGACGTGCATGATTTTTGATATTTTGCCTAAGAGTTTTAGACATGTCTTAAGATTTCTGAAATGATTTGACTCTCTCTGAGCATCAATCCCTCTGATCTTCTGTTATCAAGTTATATTTAAGGAGTATTTGTGGACAAAGTTTAGTGGAAGGAGCATTATGATCAGGACTCTGAACATTTAAGAGTTTTCCAACGCATTTGTCGTTATGCCTGCAGGATGGTCAGGGGCAGGTCATGCTGATGGACCAGGACACTCAGTGGCTGTACCAGCTCCTGGCTGAGGTCCAGTTGGAGAAGTTCTACCACCGTGTCCGAGACGGCCTCAACATTACGCGACTGGAGCACTTCAACTATGTCAAGGAGTCTGATCTCGAGCAGATTGGAATCAGCAAGCCAGGTAGGGCTTTGAGCAGATGAAAGATTAAAAACCTGCTGCCTTTTAACTAAACTAAAAGATTTACTCTCTTGGACAATAATATCTACAATAGAAAGAAGGGATTGAAGTGCTCCTTTTACTGGTTTTCAAATAGCATGACTTATTTTAACTGTGTGTATATAATGTTCATAAATACTGTTAAAATGACTAAAAGCTAAACATGCTTATGCATCACTCAATATGAGCATTTTTTACAGTAGTCATATGTAAATGACTACTGTGTTGACTAGTCTTCTTTGAAAGAATATAATCTCTGTTTGCTGGTGATCACGCCTTTTTATGAATCTACAAATAACTTTGTAAGGTTTGGGGTGGCAGAAAAAGATTGACTAGATCAGACACTGCTGTGGCTATGCACTGAGTTATGTCAACAAAGCTATGATGTTCTGATGTGGAATTATTTGTTAGAATAATGCATGCAGTAGCCTCATTTCATATCTACTTTTTTAATAAAACATGACTCAGCTAAAAAAAAAAGTAGATGTTATGCACTACAAAAACAATCTAGAAAAAGAAATAAGTAAAAATGTCTTAAATTAAGTGTGTTCAGCCTAAATTTGAGTATATAAATGAGATGATTTGCCAATGGAATGAGTTGTTTTACGCTCAGAATGAAAGAGTTAAAAATATGCACTAGTTTTTTTCTGATTTTAAGTGTAAATTCTCTTGTTCCATTGGTAAAGTGTCTCACCTACTTCCTCAATTCCTCATTTAAGAAAGAAATGGCTTATTTGGATTTCCATTTTTTGCAGTGTGAAAGATAAAAGCATGCAGCCTCCCTCACACATTAATCCATAAGCAGTAAACAACAAACTATGCAGTCCATGTTGCTCATTAGGTGTCAGCATTGCTGTACTACCAGCCTGATGACAGACGTTTTTTTTAAAGCCGTCACACGGGGGTGCAGAAACACAGACGGCGACGGCCGAAACAAAAAGGAGGAGCAGAGAGAGGATTAGAGAAAAAGAAAAAAAAAGAAAAAAGGAAGCTGTAAATTTAGATTTGTTCACAATGGAGCATGTCAGACATAAACAACAGTGGCAAAAAGTCAGAATGCTAGTATGCTTTAACCAGGTAAAACAAATTTTTTAAGTGTGCATTCCTGTTCACATTGCTTATTTTTCTCTAGAATTTCTGATAACATCAGTTAGATTTCAACTATTTTCAAGTCAAACTAATAAAGAAACATATCACTTTACTTCCAGAACCTTACTGGGCTTCAAAGGGGAGCCATTTTTTTGTAATTTTTAGGAGCTAATGCATTGTTTTATCAGTGGGACTTTTACCCTCCTTGTGTGCTGTTGGTGGTGGTCACTGGGATTGGTGGCGCTGATTGTATGGCAGCCTCGTTTCTGTCAGTCTGTTCCAGGGCAGCTGTGGCTACAGTGTTGTCTACCACCATTAGCGTATGAATAATGTCTGAACTCAGTGTAAAGCGCTTTAGGATCCTCAGACGTGATAAAACCCAGAATAATAACAGGCCATTTATCATAACTTAATGAAACCAGCTGTCCACTAGAAATTGACGAACAAAGTCGTTTTAAGGCCGATACAGATTTATTTTTAACATAACTCTAACCGAGCCCCTACATGTGCTGCTATTGTTTGGGGGCAGATTTTTTTTAAGCTGATACTGCTTTTTCCTCCCCATTTACACAATAAAAATAAAGCAATAATCAAAAACTTACAGACGTCTAATTTTAAACAGAAATAATCCATTTATTAACAAATTAAGCCAAAAAATTAGAATGGATATAAAATAGAGGGAATGGCAATTCATGTAATTGACATGATCTAAGATAATGGCTGCTGAATGCAATAATCAGTCACTGAATGGATTCGTTTGAGCTGAGTTAAAATGGCGGAGTTACACAGCAGAGCTAAAAAAGACAAACCTTTCAGTAAAGAAAGTTAGAATAGGCGTTCTTAAGATTTTAAGTAATTTATATAGAAGCTGTTACATGTTCATTTCCCTTAGTAATTTTGCCGATATGAAAACTAAACTGCCTTAAAAATAAATAATAATCTTAAATTGAACTTGCTGAACCTCAGAAAGCCTGAACTATATGGAGTTTTGATGCTGCAACTTTTTTTCCTTTTTTTTTTTTTTTTAGCAAATTAGTGAAACATGTTTTTCTTTATTCACTCTAAAAGTCATTCTGTAACTTGTAATTCCACCTGTGGGGTGGAAACAAATCTGCTTGTTGTCCATCAATCTTCTGCATTTTGTTATAAACCAAGAGAATAAAAAAATAGATGACGTTTTACAATAATTATTCAATATCAACTATATTTAATTAAATACCTCTCAGTCTGTCAGACATTGATTGTCCTGTGAACACCCGTCCAATATGGCTGTTAGAAGAACCGATTTGATCACTCATCTGAACTCCGCACACATATTAAAAATACATTTAAAACAGCCTCTCCCACATTTCAGCCAATAGTCTTTAAAAGGTTCAGTGAAATTGAACTAAAACCACCCTGCAGTATTGCTCACATTTTAGAAGGTTTTACAGATAAAAGGAAAAGGGGACTAATAGTTGACAGGCATTACCAATACAGAAACATTATGATATCATAGAGCAGACTGGATTTTTATATATGAAAACTAAATTTATCTTGAGGAAATTAGAATGAGTTGAAATTAGCTTTAAAACTAAGACTTATTACCATCATTTCAAGCTAACTCAAAGTGAAAATCTAGGATATAAAGGAAAGTCTAGGCATAAAGAGAGAGTAAACCTTTTGGATAATATATGCTGTGTTTATTAAGTCTTTGAATGACCAAACTGAGATATGAATTCTTAGAATGGCTTCTTGGGAACTCTCCAGTTAAATTATTTTTTCTGTTACAGCTCATCAGGGAAAAAAATTTAAGACAGTTTCTCGGTTACCTCCATTATGAATGCTGGATTCACTTCCAGCCACTCATAACCTAAATTTTGGGTCAAAGTTAAGGTAGTTTTGTTCTCTTGGAAGCTTGTGAATGTGGTTAGCTAAAAGCTGCTGACTATGGGTAAAAGAAAGAGACCAAAAATGTTTTCTGGGAAAGTTGAAATCATGGAGACTCCAGCTGGGACTCTGCCCTCAAGGATTGGTGTAAGGAGGATTAAAGATACCGGCTGGGAATGTAGAGCTATTATTCCCAGATCTGTTTACCAATGGGAGCTGTCTGTGGTTCCATCCATGCCTGTGCCCAACAGGGGTTTATGCTGTTTTCTATTTGTGCTCAGAAGTTGAAATTTTCAATTCGCAAGTCATGGCTTTGTCAAGCTGCTGCCTACCTTTGTGAAGCAGGAAAAAATCTAATACAAAGTGACTCCAGTAGAACTTTTTATTGCCTACCAGGAGTGGGTGACAGTAGTTGAATAAACTCATGGCTCTCAAAATGGTATCGGTGCCCTATTTGTTGGTACTCGCCGATACCGATACCACCATTTTAGGGCAGTATCGGGGCCCCGTCCGATACTGGTATCGGTATCGGTGCAACACTACTATTTATTTGGTATTTAGTTGTATTTCACCCACATCTGTCAATTTAGCTTAATAGCTTTGTACATGTAGAGCCCCATACAGCAGAAATGGTAAATTAAACTCTGCTCATGATTTGTGCACCGAGGGGTTTCAATCAGACATATTTGGAAAGTTAAACACAAATATTTCCATCCTTTCATTAAGCTGGGTTTAATAATTTATGTTCAAAATGATTGATTAATAGCATTACAGAAACATTGTTTATTTGCTGAAATAGTTTACAAGTCACAGCAATTACCATATACTAGGGATGTACTGATACAATATTAATGTTGGATATTGGTCAATTAATAGCATTTGCAATATAATCACAATTTAAGAATCAGAATCAGACATACTTCAATAATCCCAGAAGTAAATTACAGTTTTAGTACAACCGTTCATCACAATACATCACATACATTAGAAAATTAAGAAAACGTTATTTATAAATCGCATTCAATTTAGTTTATGTTTTGATATTATATTAAACAAGACTAGGAAATACATTTTCTACCCCAGTTCTTTAAGTGGCGGTAATATGTTTGAAGTGGGTTTTGCTTCAATAAAAAAGGAATTAAACTTCCAGGTATCATGCAGATCTGTGTATGTAAGTAAAACACATTTCCAAACAAAGGTAACAATAAAAGCTTTCAAGGGATTGAAAAAACTGAAACCCTGGAGTAAAGCATCCTCATGGTTGTGATTAGTGCATCGGAAAATTGAAATAAAATCGCAATCGCAATATAGATAATAACTGCAATTTTGATTTTTAGCAAAATGGTTCAGCCCTATTTCTATCTGGCTGGCATCTAAAATCTCTGATGTTTTCATGCTGATAGAAATACTCTGCTTAACCAAGCCTTTTGTATGTTATAAAATAATATAATGCGATAAAAGCTTGAATGAATCACGCTAATGTCGTATCGGGTCAAAATCAGTATCGCCCATATCTCTAAGCTGCGATATCGGTATCGTATCGGAAAGGAAACTATTGAATTGGAACATCCCTACCATATACAACTTTAATCTCATACCAACACTGTTTAATTTATCTCTATTTTTACAAACAAAACTACATGGTTATGGCATTGTGAATTAGCTCCAGGCCAGTTACGAATACCAACCTTGAGTTTTTCTTTACCAGCTATATGGACAATAGAGTAACAGTGTTGCCCCTTCCTCACCTGTTGCTGTTCCTACACCTTTGCTTTCTCAATAGGAAACAAATTCCGCCGTTTGGATGATTATTTAAAAAAAATGCCAGTCATGATGTGCAAACCAAGATGAGATTGGCAGGAGCTAAAACAACCTTAACAACAAATCTGATGAATTTTGTCAGATTTATAAGATAGGAATTATGAGATATTGAGATATATAAGCTATCTGCAAAGAATATATGCATAAGTGTTTATTTATGGCTCTCTAAGGTTGCAGCTTACAAAAAAAGTTTAAATCTACAACTGGGTACTGGCAGCCGATTTTCTTCTGCGACCCTATTACTGTTTCATAGTCGTTAACCTGAACCTGATTGGTGGAATCCATTCAGGACCTTCCTACTGTAGCAACTGATTTGATTTTACTGTTGCAGCGGTTGGTAAAATTATTGCTTTTGTTTAAAAAAATATAGACATTTTAAAACTTTGTCATACACTTTAGTCTTAATATCATGAAACAGTGAAATCATTATCATACAAGGTGAATCTCATTTTGATTTATGCCCTTTTCTATATTTAACTTTTATACCTACACCTTTAATTATATAAACTTTATGTATTCATTGTAAGCCTGCATAGATTTTATATTAACCAATTGATCCCCAACGATTTTTCGTGTTGACATTAATCAACATCTTTTAACCACATGTGGGCAGGCTGATTGTCCTAAAGGGAAACCTTCAGTCCATAAACAAGTTATGGAAGTGAAGTTGCTCCTGATCTTTCCCCTTTGCTTATCAGAGCCTTCACTTTGACTTTACTCTGAAGTAGAGTTGTGTCCTTATATTCCAGCACTCTCAGATTTAGGTCACCACCCTGAATCTGTGTACCTGTTATCTCTTTGCAGGAAATGCAGAGCTAAAGTTACCCTCAAAGATAAAGAGGCACTTCTATCATACACCGAATATCTTTCAGGCTTCTGATAGCTTATTTTTTTCTTTGTTTGTTTTTACAGCACAAAGAAGATTGTGGGAGGCCCTAAAGAGATACAAGACAGTGTCGCGCTCTAGACAATGGCCGACAAAGGTCTGTTGGGTCCAGATAAGAAATCTTAACTGAACACTTCATGTTTTAAGTGTGCTGTGGAGATTTTAATGAACAAATTGATGCACACAGGTGTTCAGTAATCGAGTTCCAGAGGGAGGGGAACAGTTTGCCACAGGTGGCCCAGTTCAGTCGGCGGAGAGCGCCGGGCGGACTCCGCCCCGTCTGATCCAGGACAGCGAGCTGTTTCTGGGAGAGAAGTTGGGCTCTGGGTCCTTTGGAGTGGTGAAGAGGGGCGAATGGCGCACCCCCGCAGGCCGCGTGGTGAGAGAGCAGACAGAAAAGTGTCAATTGACTTTTCAATTGACTTTATATCAGTTTTAGTCATTTTTGGATGAATACCTTTGCAATTTATTCATTTGTAAGCTATTGTGGTTTCCACTGGAGAACGTTTAACAGCTTGATTTTACAAAGCCAGAATAAAAACCTATCCAGGATTTTTTATTTGCTTTTTTGATTTCAGAAAGTCCCTTAAGAAATAAGCCTGTAAAAGCAATGAATGAATGAGACTACTGTCTGTGCACTAAGCATATTTTTAAAAGGAAGCACACGATTCGTATTTATCACTCCTCGGTTAATGTGATTTGATATGTGACTGTTTGTATGGACCCATAGCTACCAGTGGCAGTGAAATCACTGAAGAGCAGTATGTCCAGACAGAGTGACACCCTGACAGACTTCCTGCAGGAGGTCACCACCATGCAGTCATTGGACCACCCCAACATCATCCGACTCTACGGCGTTGTCCTCACACTTCCTCTGAAGATGGTGAACTATTATTTGAGTTGATTGGAAAAATGTAAGCGTGTCCTCCAGTACAGAAATGTTCACCGTTTTGTTTATTTTTTCCACATTAGGTAACAGAGTTGGCCCCTCTGGGCTCATTATACGACACCCTGCGTGCCCGTCAGTTCGAATACCCCCTGCTGCGTCTCTGGCTTTTTGCCACCCAGATTGTGGCAGGAATGGACTATCTGGAGACCCGGAGATTTATCCACAGGGATCTGGCTGCTAGGAACGTGCTGCTGTCTTCCAAGGACGTGGTGAAGATTGGAGACTTTGGTCTGATGAGAGGCTTAAGTCAAGATAGAGACCATTATGTCATGGGACCACACAGAAGGATCCCCTATGCATGGTTAGTTGGTGGGACAATTTGTTAAGATTCAGTTTGGCATTTTACAAGAAAATTTATGCTTGCATAACCCAACTTAAAATTATATTAATATGAAATTGCTCAACTGAACAAAAATCACATAGTGATAGGCTGTGTTTCAGCATTTGTTTATTTGTTTGATGGCTTAAAGCTATTGAAAACACCCAGTTTCTTAAAAAGTGTGATATTAGATTAGGTCATTTTTAAAGAATGATTTTTACACAAATGTTTTTCTTTTTCTATTGTCCATTCAAAGGCCCATACAATCCTAGAAAGGGATGCAGATTCAGTTATTCTGCTGGTAGGTCATCAGGTCACAAAATATGTAAGCTACCTTAGAAGCTCACTGCTCAAAAGAGAGCATTGCTGACTATCTAACTGCAGGCATGTACATTTTCCTGTTGGTCCCCTTTTCTCATCAAGCCCAAATGCCATGCAGCAATCTACAATGCAAGTTTAAAGCACTTTATGCTTCCCTTTGCTGATCTTCTTATCTACACTGCAAAAAATGGAAATCTAAATAAGTAATTTTTTTTCTTTAAAAAGTGAATTTTTCTTGAGTTGAGAAGGTAAGTGTGACACTTTGCAAATGGAACAAGAAAATATATAGTTAAAATAAGAAAATAAAATGGATTGCTTTATTTGAACCGTATGTTACGTAATTATCTTACTTTAAGTGTAAAAATACTCATTCCATTGGCAAATCCTCTTATTTATCCACTCAAATTAAGGGTAAACACAGTTCATTTAAGAATTTTTTACTTATTTCTAGATTGTTTTGCAGTGTGGCAGGATTTTGATCCTGCTTATACTGCTAAAATGATCATTAGGTATTTGATTGACCAGCAAAATGCTCTGAATTAAATCCCATCCACAGAGAATACATTAGATAACAGCAATTTAGATTTTTAAAGCAACCTGAGATATCTCATTATCTCATAAGTGTGCTAGTGTGCTGACTTTGGACTTAATATTTTAATTTAATTAGGTGTTTATTATAAGCTAAATTAACAAGAATAACATGTTTTTCTCCAGGTGTGCCCCAGAAAGTCTCCGTATCGGCTCTTTCTCCCATGCCTCTGACGTCTGGATGTTTGGTGTCACCATGTGGGAGATGTTCACCTACTGTGAGGAGCCTTGGTTTGGGCTGTCAGGGAGACAGGTACATGCTTATGCCACTGTCTGAATGTTGATTTAATGTTTTTGTCGTGCCAGTGAACGCATTTGTTGAAACGCTTGGAATGTACGTGTCTCCACCCACCCGCTGTTTGTTACACCAATGACTCAGAGTTCTGGTATCGCAGCAAACACTGCTCTGTTTGGTACAGATTTTGTGGCGTGTCGAACAAGATGGAGAGCGACTGGAGAAACCTGCAGATTGTCCTCAGGAGCTCTATATTGTCATGAGGAAGTGCTGGGCCGTCAACCCTGGTGACAGACCCAACTTTGCAACACTCACAACAATGCTGGCAGAGGTTTCAAGCTTTTTTTTTTGTCTCAGCAATTAAAATCTTAGCATCCGCATTTTATTATATAACCTCGTCAGCATCTGAAATTACACTTTCCTTCATTTACAGACTAAGCCAGCACAGGTCCAAGCAACAAGAGAATTTGCAGAACCCAGAAAACTCCCTCTTGCTCCAAACGACATTGTGACTGTCATCGACCACGGGTGAGTAAAAAGCTTCAGCATCAGGACAAAAACCTTCAGCTGACACAATCAGTCTTTGTTGTGTTTGAAAGGGGAGATTTGATTCAGTCTTTCTGAAACCGGCATTCCTGTCGTAATTCTGAAGTCCTCGAATGCATTCACCTTTGTTTTTTAAACAAGTCAAACAGCTTTAACTCCACCCTTACCGTAGAGCTTTTATTTGTCATTAAGCATCTTTACTCAAGTTTTGGTTTGCCTTTTTGTTTCAGTCATTTGTTTATTTCCCTTTTTCAGGCCTCAGTAGACATATTTTTAGTCTCTTTAACACTTAATTATTTAACTTTATTAATCTCACACTGGAGAAATTCACTCTCTGCATTTAACCCATCTCCTCGGGGAGCAGTGTGAGATTAAGGGTCTTGCTCAAGGACCCTGAGTGGCAGTCCGTGGGAGTCAAACCTAGAACCTCAATGATTTAAGCGCAATGCTCTAACCACTAGGCTACCACCTCCCCACTTGGGCTTGGTCTTCAACTTTTAACTAAAACTTCACAAGTGATTTTAGGTAGTGTTACCCTCATGTTAGAGAGGTGTTCTTGTGCTCTGAGAAGGTTGTAAGTACGATCCCCACAGCCTGCACTCTGGGTCCCTGAACAAGACCCTTAATCCCACACTGCTCCCTGGGTACCGCACAATGGCTGCCCACTGCTCCCCAAGGGGATGGGTTAATTTCTCCAGTGTGAGATTAATGAAGTTCTATTATTTTATTAATTATTATTATTAAAGCAAATGATTTACTTTTGTTTATGTTTATCTTATTTATCATATAAAACCTCAACAGAGCCCCCTGTATGTGAGTAAACTATATCGTACTCACTGCACCCATCACTGTTAGTGATCTGGGCTTGGACGAGCAGGACAAAGGGCAAGTTTGAAGCAGAAATCGTAAAAAAAAAAATTCCATTAGCGCAGTAGAAACTTTATGATTACTGGATGCACAATTGTGTAAAAGTTAATGATTTTCTGTTGATGCAGAACAAGGCTTCCATGATATTCGGGAAATGTAACTTTGGGATGTCCTTGTTAAACGCCCTGATGGTGATATCAGTCATGATTAACCCAGTTTTACTCGCCGTTCTTCATCAGAATCAGAAATACTTAATTAATCCCATCCAGAGGGAAATTATTTTGTTACACGCTCCAGTTACAGTTATTTATTTATATATACGTATACGTGTATATATATATATATATATATATATATATATATATATATATATATATATATATATATATATATATATATATATGTATGTGTATATATATATATATATATGTGGTTATATATGTGGCAAAAGCTTGTAGGAGACTTAAAGCTATATCTCCACATATTAAAGATTAAATATAGATCTGAAAAGGATCAAAATCTACACAGTTAGTGCTATAAGCTACTTCACACTGCAACGCAGGGTTCTTGCCAGCATATTTCAGGGTAGCGAGCAATTATGATAAAAAATAAAAAATAAATAAAAAAGTCGCTAGTAAGTCCGGGTCAAACCAATTGCGTCTTACTTTTTATTCTCTGGTCCAATTTTTTTTTTTTTTTTTTTTTTTCCATGTCAGACTGACTGTATAGAGAGGTAGGATTTCAGTCCTGTCTCTGTTCCCCACTGCTAAGCAATTACCCACATTTGACTTGGACAGATTTAGAAAAGTTCTGAAAAAAAGAGTAATATATTAAACACATAATGGAAACTATGCTAAAAGAAAAAGGAAACACGTCTGTAGGACAGTTTCTATGGGTACTGGGTGAGCTTGTCCAACATGATTTTTTTGCCGGATCGGACAAAATCAGATGTGGTGTGTTCAGGGCTTTTTTCCGAAAATCAGGCTGATGCACACATTTTTTTACGACACTGGATTTAAAATCTGGGCTTCCTCCCCAGCGTATTCCAGCACAGATGCTTGTTTTGCTGAAACTTTTAGAATTACAAGGAATTATGCTGATTACCTAACTTTAAATGAGTGTAACAATCGCAGAAAGTGTTTTTAAATTAATTTACCTTCTCATTTGCACACATACATGAGGAAAGCAATGTGAACCCCGCACAGTTAAGCCCATCATAGGCTCAGCTTACCAAGGCAGGAGAACATGCTAAAGGGAAAATGGCAGAAAGCAAGCTTTAAAAACAATTATAAATAAAATAAAAAATCCTTGTGAGAACCTTTCAACCAATAGTTTGCTACGTTCCTTTTGTCAAATACCCACTAACAAGGTGATCATTTGAGATGGCTTTAACATTATGCTAATTTTGTGCCAGAGTTTTAAAAATATCAGTAGACATTTTCTTTATAGAGCTCCGTCTCTATAAAGAAAATATCTACTGATATTTTTTGTAAACTCTAAATACGTAACCAGAAGAAAAAAATATCTAAAAGATTGGAGAAAAAGAAACAAAAAACAAAAAAAGACAATTATTTACATCCTGGTTGCCAGAGGAAAGGTGTCTGATATAGAACAATTATCAGTTCTGATGAACAAGTCATAATGACTTGCTGTGACAAACTTGATAAAAGGAGCAGCCAGAAGGACTCAAACATGTTTGTTTTTTTTGTTTGTTTTTATGTGTCTCTTATAGAAACAAAATAGATATCAGTTTTCACAAGATGATATTGACAGAACCTAACAATATATATATATATTTTTTTATTTCAGTCAATACAGTATGATTTTGATGTGGAAATAAACAAAATAAAAAGTCAATCAATACAAAATGCATTAAACATGTGCTATTTTTGCTAAAGTTATATTACTATATATATTTAAATATAATTACTTCCACCTCTATGAGAATGTAGAAACAGACTACATTCTCTAATGTTTGCTATTTAAGCAAAAATTATTTTATTTAGGATTCCAACAATTTTTCCATTTCAAAATTCTGTACTTTTCTAGGCTTAGATTTTTAACAGTTTTTCCCAACCTGCCCTAACCAGTTGGAAGTTGTGTCAAAAACATTCAATTATTATCTGTAGGAAACAAAACAGTGTTGAAGGGGGATTCCAGTGTTATTAAATGCTATTTCTCCTCTTTTACAGCATCTGCAAAAAACCTGGGGTATTTTCATTTAATAACCTATATGTGGTAGATCTAGATTTGATTGTTTATATTAAAGGGGAACGCCTTTTTTTTTTTTTTTACATTGGCCCTTTGATTTTATGTTATTACATCATGTTCCACTCACCCATATGAGTTTTTTGTCATTTGGAGCCGTTCTGAAGATATTTAATTAGGTTATATCCAAGCAACGTCTTCCTATGGGCAACGAGTTGAAGGCACAAACTGAACTGTTCATAATTTATTCTTTATGGTACGCCAGCATTCATAACATGTAGGCGAATCACTGTCCCGCAGACATCCGCGGTTATATTTTTTATATTTATATCTTTTTTTAAACAAAGTGGAGTGTGTATGACGTCATCCGCGCGCGCTGGCTACCATTCATTCATCCTGTCTGCTGATCTACTCAGAGTTGATTAAACTACCACACACCAGCCTTTATGAAACTGAAAATTCTGAGTTTTCAACCTCAGGCTAGATCAATTCAGAGTTGAGGATTTAAGTCTGAGTTTGTTAAACCTGTGTTGTTAAACTGACTGCTGATCTTTACAGAGGACATGTAAGGATTGCAGGCATAAAGTTTGTTTTTTTCAATTCTATAACATTTTCCACAACCTAATGACACGTTTTGTTATTTTCAATAAAGAATTTAAAACATTCTTTATTTTCCACATTTTAATACTTTATTGTTCAACCAAAAAAATATGAGCTGGACACAGACTAAGAGTTTTCTGGTATTATTTTTTCTTTCAGTTGAGTTTTAGTTCAAATGATCTGCTTTTAATCAGATGTTCTCCTTGTATCTCAGGCTGGAAATGAACGAATGGCGTGGGCAGAACCAGAGGACGCTGGTCGTCGGCTGGTTTCCTGCCACTCTCACTGTGCCCGCAACCACTTCCAGCAGCTCGGGGCCCAATCCACCTCCAGGTATTCCCATCATCTCCCCCCCAGTAAAGGGAAGCCTGCAACACACGGGGCATGGAGACGTCCATCCTGACCGCAGTTGGGGAACTCCAGAGAGGCTGGAAGAGTCAGTAAATCTCCTCCTCTTTACTCATCTTCCATCTCGCAATGACTGACGTACTTGTTCTAACATGACCTTCCTAATTGTTGGTGGGAAATATAAATATTTGTTATTATTAGCCCTCATATCATTATCTAGTGTCTAACCAATTATCTGCTGGCTTTAGGATAGCTCTAGACAAAGGGAAACCTCAGCTGTGATGTGACTCATTAGTGACCTGACTAGACAGAATTAGAGTTAAAAAGTCACTTGACTCATCCAATAATGACGTGTTTTTGTTTACATATGAAAGTTGTGAGTTTAACAAGCTGCTCCCTGTAGTTAATTAATTGGACTAAGGAAAAGGCTCATTAGATGACATGGTTTTAAGTCTGCAAAGTTTTTATGCTTCTTATTTTTCTGTTCTTGTGTTTAAGAATTAAAAAAAAAACCTATTTATAAGCTTTTTTTGAAAAAGTTTCTGTTTTATTTTCCTTGTATCTTAAGACAATGAGCTTTACTGGTTTTACTGAGTTCAGCTTCGTGCAGAACACTATATTGTTGTGGCACCCCTGGAAACTATGTTTAAAAAGCCTTTTTAGATTCTTGTGGGAAAATGAAATATTTTCTGTAATCCCTTCCTGAGTTGACTCATTACACAGAGAGAGGTGTGGAGGAGTTCAGCCTGTTCTGGTGGTTCTGTTGAGGTGAAACTGAGGCCCAGGTTTCTCTAATTATAGGGGTCTTCACTCCGTCACGCATTTTTAAAGAAACTGATATCTAAATGACATAGAAGTTACTTTAATCTGGAAGAAATGACATTCACCCTCCCTCATGTTTTCCTTAGCCATTGTAAAAAATCTTGTAGTCCATTTGATGGTCTAGGTCTGCAGAGACCATCCCCCTTGTTACTTTCCAATTTTTTTTTTGTTTTAACTTTTTTCAATATTAAACATTTTGAGAATCAGGATTTTGAGCTTTCATTATCTATAGGTCATAATTATAAGAATCAAATGCTTGAAATTCTTCACTTTCTGATATGAATGTCAAAAATCTTTAACATTTTCTCTTTTTTTTTAATTGGACATGAATTTTGTAGTTCATACTTTCCTGTGTTGCTTTGTTAATATCATGTGACACATATTTTAGCATTAGGATTAGTTGCTAACCAAGATGGAAAAGTTATTGCCTTTTTTCTAATTGCAAGCAAAATTAAATTTCGTTTTAGGATTTTTACTCATCTTTATCAAGAAAAGCAGAAGACACTGAGTGGAAAATTGAATAAAATAGAATTCAACTTTATTGTCATTACACTGTAATAAATACAAAGCAATGAAATTAACTCTCTGCATTTGACCCCTTGGGAAGCACTGGGCTGACACAATGCAGAGCCCGTGGAGCAGTGTGGGGTTAAGGGTCTTGCTCAGGGACCCAGATTAACAGTCTGTGGGAATGAGTGGGACTTGAACCCAGAACCTGCAGGACCCAAGCGCAATACTCTAACCTCTAGATCACCACTCCCCTTAGATAGATGCATAGATGATATCTGTTGGTTTAATGTACTTGTTTTTCCTCATATGTGCAGCAACGGCAACTGGAGGTCGGGACCTGGCAGGGAGCGCGAGGGAACCAACCTTCAGAAAATGGCAGGTAAGAGCTGGAAGTAACCACAATGGTATGAGTATGCTCCTGCTTTTACAATATTAACAAACATAAGAACAAATCTTTAGATTTAAAAACTGTGCTCTGCTAAAAGCTGATCATGCTGTGTGTGGGTTATTGTATTTTCTTACATTGTGGGACCCATTTTCTGAAAAAAAAAAAAAAAAAAAAGATGTGAGCAGCAACTGCATCTCGTGGCTGAACCCCATGAGTGGAATCGCTGTTTTAGGGTCAAGGGTCACGGTTTGAGACTAAGGTATGAATTGAGTTTAAGCTGGGTTAAGGGTTAGGTATGAACGGTTATGTTTAAGGTAAGGGTCACAGTTAGGCTGTAGAAATGGGTTAGAAATTAATGGAAGTCAAGGGAAAGGCCCCACAAAGATATTGAAGCAAGTTTGTGTGTGTGTTTGTGTAGGGAAGGGGCTTTTAAATATATAAAAACCTGCATTAGCAATGTTGTTATCCTCCATATCTGCTGGTTATGAGGGAAACAAAACTTGTATAGTACAACCCAAATAAGTTACATTAAGCAACTACGCTCCCTGTTGGCCATATTTAGTACCTTATTTTTTGCTGTCTGATTTTTCCCTCCTGATCTCTGTATCGATCTATGAATGTGTTCATGTTTGTAAGCAAGGCTGGATTAATGTGATCCTAGATTTAAAGGTGATGGCCACAAGTGTCACTCCTACCAGCCAGTAAAAGGTGCACTCACCCTTTCTCCTCTTCACTGTTTGCCTGTTGATTGCCAGTTCTGTGAATACCAGTGTTTAGTGTTGGCATCATAACTCAAATGTTAAACTAATATTCATTTTTGTTTTTCTTTCTTTTGTTTTTCTCTTTTGGCTTAAATCTTATTCAGTGCATTGCGAAAATATTTCAACTTTTCTACCTTTTGCCACATTTCAGGCTTCAAAGTTAAAGATATAAAACTGTAATTTTGTGTGAAGCACCAACAACAAGTGGGACACAATCATGAAGTGGAACGAAATCATTGGATATTTTTAACTTTTTTTTAACCGACAATGAAAACTGAGAAATTAGGTGTGCAGAATCATTCAACCCCATTTGAGTTAATACTTTATAGTGGCGCCTTTTGTTGCGATTATAGCTACAAGTCGCTTGGAGTATGTCTTTATCAGTTTTGGTAATTCTTCCTAGCAAAACAGCTGCAGCTCAGTGCTGTTGGATTGGCAAGCTTTTTTCAACAGCAGTTTTCAGTTCTTTCCACATATTCTCGATTAGATTCAGGTCTGGATTTTGACTTGGCCATTCTAACACCTTAATATGTTTATTTGTAAACCATTCCATTGTAGATTTGCGTTATGTTTTGGATATCTGTCTGATTGGAAGATAAATCTCTGTCCCAGTCTCTGTCTGGTCTTTTGCAGACTCCAGCAGTTTTCTTCCAGAATGCTCCTGTATTTGGCTCCATCCCTCTTCTCATCAATTTGAACCATCTTCCCTGTCCATGCTATAGCAAATTAGGCCCAAACCATAATGCTGCCACCACCGTGTTTGACAGTTGGGATGGTGTGTTTAGGGGGATGAGCTGTGTAGCTTATACAAAGGGGCGACAGTGGCGTCAGATGTAGGAGTTTGCCCTGAAATCGAAGGGTTGACGGTTCAAGCCCCGACTCCGACTTTCATTGTCGTTGTGTCCTTGGGCAAGATACTTCACCTGCATTGTCTACATGTAGCTTGCCACCATCAGTGTGTGAGTGTGTGTGTGAATGGGTGAATGAATGTAGTGTAAAGCGCTTTGGTCAAGTCTCCTAACTTGAATAAAGGCGCTATATAAGTACATGCCATTTACCATTTACTTATGCGCCAAACATACGTTTTACATTGTTGCCAAAAAGTTTGATTTTGGTTCTATCTGATCAGAGCACCTTCTTCCATGTTTGCTGTGTCTCCAAGGTGGCTTGTGAAAAACATTAAACAAGACTTTTTATGAATATTTAATAAATGGCTTCTTTCATAAAGGCCAGATTTGTCCAGTATACAACTGATTGTTGTCCTGTGGACAGAGTCCACCTCAGCTATAGATCTTTGTAGTTCATCCTCCGTGATCACGGGCCTCTTGGCTGCATCACTGATCAGTTTTCTCCTCGTTTGAGCTGAAAATGTAGAGGAACTGCCGGGTCTACGTAGATTTGCAGTGGTCTGATACTCCTTCCATTTCAGCATTATCACTTGCACAGTCCTCCTTGGGATGTTTGAAGCTTGGGAAATCATTTTTTTATCCAAATCAGGCTTCAGGCTTCTGCGACTATCACAGAGCAGGTGCTTTTACACAGAGACTTGATTACACTCTGGTGGACTCTATTTATCATCATCAGTCATTTAGATCAACATTGGATCCTTCAGATATCCTCACTGAACTTCTGTGAATGATGCTACCACCCCCATGCTTCACAGTAGGGATGATGTTCATGGGATGGTCCTCATCCTTCTTCTTTCACCAAACATGGTTAGTGAAATTATGACCAAAAGTTCTATTTTGGTCTCTCCCATGACTCCTCTGGATTATCCAAACAGTCATTGGTAAATGGCCTGTGCTTGTATACCGTTTTTTCAAGTCAGGAGACTTGACCAAAGCGCTTTACACTACATTCATTCACCCATTCACACACACACTCACACACTGATGGTGGCAAGCTACATTGTAGCCACAGCTGCCCTGTGGCTCACTGACAGAAGCGAGGCTGCTGTACACTGGCGCCCTCTGACCACCATCAGTAGACAATGCAGGTGAAGTGTCTTGCCCAAGGACACAATGACACTGAAACCCGGAGCCGTCAATCCTTCAATTTCAGGGCAAACTACACCAGACACCACTGTCGCCCACAGTCATTGGAAAATTTAAGACGGGCCTTGACATGTGCTGATTTAAGCAGGGGAAACTTCCATGCCATACATGATTTTAAACCATGACGTCTTCATGTTTGTGTCCCACTTGTTGATAAAATTTTATATCTTTATTTTTAAACCTGAAATGTGGCAAAAGGTCAAAAAGTTCAAGTTTCGCAAGGCACTATAGATGGTACAGCCATTTCTCAGCTCTATCACAGAACTAGTAGGATCTAGCCTCACCTGAGCTCCATGTCATGTGACTTAAACCTACTTTTTCAATTGGTGTGCAATTTTTTTTGTCGATGTTGCAATCATAACCAGAAAAATTTATTTATTTTGAATGCCATTTTTTAAGATGATTATTTGTAATGTTTTTTCAGTAGAATTACTACTATTATTCTGCTCAAAGAAGTATGTTGTTGATGTAGTTTTTGGGAGAAAGGAATCATTATGGAGAAAAGTTGTAACTATGATTCTGAGTGGTTACTTGCTGTATTAATCTGTTTGTTCTTCATTGATAAATCCACCATTCTTTCAAAACTCCTCTGAAAGTGTTGTTGAAAGGAACTTTTTTCTGTACTTTCAGGAATGTCTCAGAGCCTGGAGTCAGTCCTAAGTGGACCGCGCCCTCGTGCTCACACAGTAGGGGCTGTAAAAGTGGATCAACATGGCAAACTCATGCCTCCCGCCATGATCGCTCGGAGCATGATGGCACAGCAGGACATTCGGCGCTTTAGTGAGGCCAGCCTCGCCCCTCCTCCTCGGCCGCCACCCCCCAACCTGAAACGCTTGAACATGAAGAATCAGAGGAAGCCCATAGTTCAGCCCCCCATTGGCACCCCATGGCCTCAGCAAATGGCCATGTCCCCCCCAGCACAAGCAACTCCACCCAGTGTATCAGGGTCCAACCTGGTCAAAATGGCCCAGATGACACGTTCAACCCCACAGCTGGATGAGGACCAAAGGGGGGGAGGAAAAGACAGAGAGAAATCTCATTATGCACAAAACTCAAAGGAGAACCTCGTTGCTCAAGTAAGAAGTTACTTACAGGTTACCTACCGTGCTTTTTCCTATAAATGAACCTCAATGAAGGGATGTTAATTCTGTCTATGGCATTGCTCAGGTGATGGAGGCTGTACACGGCGTGACCACTGAAGAAGTGCAAAATGCACTTCAACGTAATGACTGGAAGCCAGCACGGGCTGAACAACAACTCAAGGTAGGACAATAAGAACAATGTTTTCTGCACAAATAATACAAACAAGCAGGAATCTATATATATTTATATTTGACACAAAGTAGATACTGAAGGGGGGGGGGTTTACAGAATGCCCTAAGAGTAGAGAGGAAGAATGCTTGCTCCCGTTAGCTTGTCGGCTCCTCTCCTAATGAAAATGAGGCTTCGTGGGCTCTTTATTTCAGATCAGCACGAGCTGCACTCAGCGTCTGCATTGGTTCGACAGCTTTAATGCAGTAAATGTCAATATGTTTCAATTTGGGACATTTGTTCACCTTCTTGCCTTTCTTCTTTTAATTTTTAACTTTGATTTCCCTTCCTTAATGGTTGAAGAAAATTCCATAGAAAAGTCACACCTTTTCATAAACCGCCTGGTTCAAAGCTCTGGAAAGAAAGTAGCAACTTGTATTTCAGAAAACACAGTATAAAAATCCAACCTTCAATTCAAGTTGGTGTGTCCAAGGAGAAACTGCTCCTATTTAAAATCATTATTGTCAACAGAATCAACTGCTGCAGTTATTGGTAGCCCTGCTGCTTAAACTTGAAGCCACCATCTTTTCAAACAGGACAGCACATTTCAATCTTTTTCTATATTTCACAAGGTTGAAGGATACAGATAGAGGGATCTTTGACTTCTCCCCTTCATGCAATCTCTTCTACCATACCCAGATACTCTCTTCTCAGAAACTCCCCCTGTTGTTGTGCAAAGTTCTATTCAGCAGCTTATTACCAGTTTTCCAGCAGTAGCTACCACATTTCTTTTAATCTCAAACATCCTGTTACTTAAAACAATTTGAATCACCTTGAAAGTCCTCCAACATAAACAGTGGCCCTGAGGTGCTTTTCCACGCACTGAGCTCAGCTTTACACCACACCCATTGTCAGTGTTGGGAAAGTTCTCTTTCTATGTGAACTAGTTCAAAGTTCAATTCACACATTTTAAAATGAACTAGTTCAGTTCATAGTTCATAATTCAAAAGTTTGAACTAAGTTCACAGTTCCAAAAAATGAACTAGTTCATAGTTCTTTTTTTTTCATATATTGCTCAATTACACCATAGCCTACTGTAGAAGCACAGACAGCAATTATTTTATCAGTTGTAACTCTGAAACTGTGCGTCAGATTTCATCTTCATATCCAGTTTTTAATCCTTATCCAACCAGGGTTTACATTAGCATTGAGGGGACAGCATTTCCCCATTGTTGCTTTAACGCTTTGTTACTGTAAATTCACTTCACACTAGTAGCAGCTGCAGCTTTCACCCCTACAGTATATTCTCAAAAACATCAGGAAAAATGTGCTGCTTGAATGGTCTTTTTTTATGAGGAATTATTAAAAGAAAAACAGGAAAGTAGTCTTTAAGGTGCAAATGTTTTTTTAATTTTAATAATTTTTCCCATTTGAAATTCCATTTCAGTACATACTAAAAAGGAATACTGGAATCCTGGAAAATTATACCAGGCAGGTTTAACAAACAAGTTACATGAATAGTAAAACCCTCAACTCAAGAACATTTTACTAACACAAACTGAAGGACCAGGCTGAGGTAGGAATTTAAGGTTACTGAAGTGCGGATTTTTTTACTGAAAGCCGGCAGGCAAAGTTTACAGAGAAATGTAAGATTGTTGCCATTGTCCTCACCGACCACCTGGTCATAAACCTGTTTTAAGTGATCATACTGCTGCTTTGTCGCCTCCACGGTCGCCTCCATGCTGCTGTGGCTTCCACGCTGCATTTTGTTTTGATGACGCATGCGGCTGTAGGCTACGACACTGGTAGCTGGTGTTGCCAGATTGGGTGTTTTTCCCGCTACATATTAAGGCCTGTTTACGGTGTGATTTAGCCGGGGTTTCGCCTGGAGGACTCTATAGAATTCTGGCAACCTATTGAACGAAGTTGAACTGAGAGAGCGTGCCGTTCACAGACACCAGAATGAACGCGTTCACAATAACGTTCATCAGGCAGTAATGCAGTACGTTCAGTTCACGTTCGCCCAAAATATGAACGAGTTCATGAACTTTCGTTCAATGAACGCGTTCAGGCACAACACTGCCCATTGTTTTGTAGCTGAAACAGCCCATTCTTGGTGGAGTTAATGTTTACATTTCTCGGTTGTTGTTTTTTATTAATGATAGTGCAGAAAAGTTTAAGCGGTCCAGGCTTTGTTTCCCTACAGCAAGTTGACTTATAGAGTGCCTTTAATTGTTGCTATAGAAACCCCCAGAACACCCCTCCTTACTGATCCTGCAGACATGGGTTCTAATGAATTAATCTAACCTGTTCAAACTGTCCTTCTGAGGGTAGCTTTTCTTATACCAAACCGTACTATTTCAAGTGAGGTAAAGCAGGGTATATTTATCTATATAACACATTTCTGTGACGTGATAATTTAAAGTGCTATACATGGAAGAAAAAAAAAGCAAAAACGACCTAGAGGAAAATACACCCCAGTGCCATAATAGCGGAAGGTAAAAAATATGAGTTCAAATTTGATTTTTTTTAGGAGGAGCCTAGGGTTTAAGCACTTTTTTATAGTTTGTTCCTGATTAGTAGAGTATAAGAACCAAAATCTGCTTTTAAATGTTTGCAATGAAAAGGTAAAAAAACAGGAATTTAACATGATCTAGAGGAGGCAGAAATATAATGAGAAAGGAGATCCACATTTTATCAAAACCACTTTAAAGGATAAAAACAATACAGTCTGTTGTTAAAATCCATTATTAGTTTTTTTAGATAAATCTTAATTTTATTATATTTCTATGCTTTGATTCTACTATGTTAGGAAGCCCAGGTTTTAATGTTGTAAGGTATCTGGAAGTTTTTAGAGTTAATAATTTTTCATTTTAAATAAAGGCAGTCTACAGAATGCCAATGCTAGTTTCTTTAAAGGAAATACCGTACGTTATTGACGTGTATAAAGTATTTTTCTATAATATTTTTTTTCGCTGCATTTAACAAAGCTATGGTCTTTCTGTCTCCTCAGCTGGACCAACTCTATGCGCTCAGACTCTGCTCTATAGAGGACTGTATCAAGATCCTAACCAAATACCAGTGGAACCTGCAGATGGCCAGCAGATACCTCATACGGGTGTCCCGGGAAGAAAGGCTTGGCCCCAGCGAGAGGGATCGACCTCAGATTAGCGCAGAGAGACGAGTCTGAGGACATTTCTAGCTGCTTGACTTGCTGATGCCTGAAATTTTGGGAAACACCTTGCATGATTAACCTACTTTAGGACATGTTGCTGCCTGAAATGGCTGCTTTAATGTTGGCACTGAACTGAGCATATTAAAGGAACATGAAGGCTTAAAAATAGGATGCACAAGAGACTAAAAGCCCCCAACCACTGTTTTTATATTTTCACTTTGCCATTATTCACCAATTTTTTATTAATGTATGTATGTATGTGTGTAAATATTTCCTTAGTCATGCATTTGATGAATAAATGTCGAGATAAAAACCACTCAGTCTCTTAATTGTGAAAACACTTGATAATCAGTCTGAACTTTTATGAATAACCTTTTTTACCAGTGGGTTAAAGATGCATTTTAAGAACAATTGGACCATTTGACCACAGAAAGTCTAGTCTGGTATTCAAGTTTTCTGCCTCTTTTTTACTAGTTTCTGTATGGATCCAGATCTAAGAGCACAGTAGTCATGTCAGGGGAAAAAGGTATGAATCAAAACTTTTCCCCAAGCTATCTGGAGAGAAAAAACCGAGTCCCAATTTTTGTTAAAGAATCCCCATCGGGACTGAAGCAACTTCTTTTTTGATTGAATAATAAAGACACAAATGTCCTACCCATTATATGGTCCAATCAAAAAATTTTTTTACTTATTTTACAATTTAAAAAGTTACTTTAAACAAAAAAGACTGCACTTCTATCAAATAAAACATTATCAATCAAAGAAAAGCAGTGTTCATATGTATTTTTTTGAGTCTCAAATATATTTTTGCATTCAAATACTTTTTTTCTTTGATTGAAAAGTTTTTTTTTTCATTGAAGTGAAGATTTTTTTAATTGAAAATATATTTCTTTTGATTGAAGCAACCTTTTTTTGATTGAATAATAAAGAAACAAATCTACCTTCATAGACTAGTTGTTTCTTCATCAGATTTAATGATGACTGGCAAGCAACTTTAATACCATTTTCCCACTGGCTGAAACCCATTTAAACCCTGGAATAATCTGCTTTTAGTTGCAGTGGGAACAGCTCACTGACTCATGCATACCTGGGTCAAAAGACTTGGCAGGCTACCCACGTTAAAATCGCCTCGGCTCTGATCGGCATGATGTGGGAACATCAGAGCCGGGTTGACCTGCTAAAATACATGATACCATTGACATTGACACATCGAGCCAGCTGAGTCTGATCTAACAAGCCAAAAAAACTCTATATTTGATAAACATGGCACAGCAGTGGTAAGATGGATTCAGAGAGAGGAGAGAAGAGAATAGAATAGAAAATCCCTTTATTGTCCCTCAATGGAGAAGTTCTGGTGTTTACAGCAGCAAAAAGATTATAGAAAAATGGTCACACAAATATGGACCTTAGAAAAATGTATAAGAATAACATAATTATGAAAAGTAAAAAAAAAAAATAGTTAATTTAAATACTGTACTGTAAAGTGTTTTAACAATATAAATACAGTGCACCTGGAGAATAAATAACTAATATTCAGCTATGGAAATTTTTACAGTAATGGATATTTGAAGATAGCAGCAAATACCATGTATAATGTAATTATTGCTCTCCTTTCTTCAACACACCCTTAACCTCTAAAACATCTAGATGATTTATTTGAATTCATCAATCATATTCCCAATATACACTGTCCAGGTGGATTTTTCTTTTTATAGGACAAATTCCCAATTATTTGAGGGACTCTTCTAGTTCTAACTGCTCTCCATACATCCAAAGATTTATTTTAATTGGCTTTATCCTTTTGGTAAATAATGCTGTTTTAGTCTTTACCAATAGCTTTATTTTTAATCCTATGCCTGTACCTCCAGGATTGCCTCTTCCATTTCCTAACCATAGATCCAAGACTGTTCATCTTTTCAGTAGGCTTCCTCATCTGCAAACAATGACACTCCAAAAACACAACATAATGAAACACAATATTTATCATGATCAAGAAGAGAACTGGGCTGAAAATGCTTTTTTAATATTCATGATTTTCTCCTTATCTCAGTCAAAATCTCTAAAGGGTTAAAAATAAAATCCAAATAACTTTTTTGTTGTTTGAAAAAATGGCAAGATTTCCTAGAGAACATATTTGATAAAAAAAAAAAAAAAAAGATGTGCTTTATTTAAACACCACGTAATAGTTTGCAGCTCTAGACAAATGCCATTTTGCAGGACACTGGATAAAATGGCTCTTTGCATTTGAAGGTTTGCAGAACCCTGTGCTAAAATAACGTCCTTGTGGTCAAAAGTTGTCGATTCCACATCAAAATGACATCAAATTGTCTTTAAAATTTAGCCAAAAACCTAAATCAGCTTGACATTAATTTGATGTATGTCAGTGATTTTATTGGTGTCATGTTGACATTAATTCAATATCAAGCTTCATTGAAACTTCACCCAAATAATAACATTGCATTGCAAAAAATTGAAATTTAATACATAATTTTTTCCTAAAATAAGTATATTTTTTCTTGAACTGTAGAGGTAGTGAGACATTTTGCAAATGGAGTAAGACAATTTATTTTAATTTAAAATAAGAAAAACAATTGCATTGTCTTATTTCGAGTCCATGTTATCTAATTTCAATCTGAAAAACTCACACAGAGAGAAAAGATAATTAGAAGAATTTATTGATAGAAAGTATAGTCTTTGGCGCTCAGACCTCGGCAGGAACATTCATGCTGAATTATGCTTTAACATGCATGAGTAGATAAATGAGAATAGGGATGTTCCCCCGGCCTGAAACTGGTGGTGGTTTAATCGGAGCTGGTTGACAAGGTGATCTGCTGAGCAGAATGTGGGACTAGAAGACTGAGGGAGCTGACGCCAGGCTTCACTCGGAGACTCTGGAACTGTCCATGATGAGCAAGCATGAAGCGACAGTGGAGAGGAAAAACTCCCCCTTGGGAAGAAACCTCTGGCAGAACCGGGCTCAACATGGTGGTCTTCTGCCGGACCAATGCGGTGAGACAGGGGATGGTGACAACTGGGATTAATACTCTCTGATGAGGTTGAGGTGAAGTCGAGTCATGGATGACGATTCAGCTGCGATGGCGGGGAAGGGGATGGAGGTGGGTGAATTGTCGTCTGAATCGAAGTCCGACATTGCGATTGCAGGATAACGGCTGGGATGAAGATTTGGAGCGTTTATAAAGTGAGAGCAGGACGCTGATTGGGCTTGTGGTGGAGTAGTTCGAAGCTGAATGGCTCGCTTCGGAGACGGATTAGCTTCTGATTGGATGGAGGTACTGTATGTGAGTCAAGGCAGGTGAGCAAATACTTTTGGCAATATAGTGTAAGTCAGAGTTTCTTCAATTGAACTTCCGCTAGAGCTTCATTTTAAGAGTAAAGATACTCTGTTTGCAAATCATCTTATCTACTGAAATTAAGGGTAAATACACTTAAGTTCAGACATTTTACTTATTGGTAGATTGTTTTTGCTGTGTGACGTTATTTAGTCAAAATGTTAAGTTTTTGTAAATAAAATATTTTTTAAAGATTATTTCTAGGCATTTTGGGCTATATTTTTGAAAGTAGGCAAGAAAAAAAATCTGGGATTAGAGAGGGCAGAGACATGCAGGAAAGGTTCTGCTCTGCTCCCTAACTCTGGAAATCTCTCCCTCCTGATATTCGCAATACTGATACTTTACTCTTTTAAATCAATACTAAGAAACTAATCTGTTAAACAGATGATACCTCCACTGATTACCTGTCCTGTTTTTAGTGCAGTGTATAGTTGATTGTTTGTTGTTGAGTGTCCTTGGGGGTTTGAAACTCGCTTTAAATCAAATATATTACTATTTTTTAATCTGCCCTAGTGTTAATGACTAGGGCAATTAATGATCTTCCCTTTTTTTCTTTCCCTAAAGTAGGGCATATTTTATCTTTCTGTCAGCATTATCAAGAAAGATAGAGACTTACTGTACCTAAGTGCACTCTGACTTTGGACTCATTTCAATGAAGTGTATGAGTTCTCCTGTAAAATCAGAGGTTTACTAAATAAGATTACAAAATAAGAGCAACAATAATACAAGAAAACGTTTAATGTTATATCAGATAAATACATTTTTGTCTGTAAAAGAAAATGCAGAAGCTACAGAGCAAAAATAGAAGTGAGCAACTTCTGCATGAATGAACATTAAAAAAAAAAAAATTACTGCAAATTATGACAACTATCTTCACTGAACACAATGTACACAACACGGCTTAATTTCCAGCCTTTAGAGAGAGATTACTGGCATACTGGCAAAAGAAACTGAATGCTTACAGCATTAGTGGCACATTGCATTTTTAGTCAAACGGCTTTGTGAAACGGGCCCCTCATCCAAAACTTAGAACCATCTGCTGTCATAACATTAAAAAAAACAATTTATACATCTAGATCAGTGAGAATATTATAATTGTATTATTTCTTTTATTATTTCCTCATGAGAGAGGTTACAAAAATGTCAATAACAATGAAGAGCACAGATAGATGTGACAGAAATTTGAAATATGACAAAATATAATAAACATTATTTGGATACACTGAGTTCACACCATTCTACCTGGAATATCTATAATATTCCAGGTAGAATCAGCTCAGACAGATTTTCAAAAAAACCACAATCTAATCAGCAGGTTACATTTATGATTAATCCTTAATATATTTATTAATGAAATGTAGATCTTCTGTTGAAGAGTGAATCTAGAAGACAATAATACAAACACTGGATAACATAAGTGGGCTTTTGTACTTGATTTCCCTTCATTCGGTAAAAAATCATTTGGTGTTAGCCCCTCAGTTTCTCTCAAAGAACATGAAGTCCTGCAGGACAGAAAAAATGAAAAACAAACATTAAGTAAGATCTCAGAAGAACAGATTAAACACCTCCATTCATATTACGGGACTTACGATGAGGAAGCAGGTCCCCAGGAGCACAGCCTTCATCTTCACATCTAGGTCCATGGGAAACTGAATGCCGAAGTTTTCAGCGTCTGTGAAAAATTCCTTCACTAGGCCACTCCACTGCTTACTGATCCGACCAATCGACTCTTCACCATCTTTCCCTCTGAGCTATACAGCAGGGGAAAAACAAAACACAGAGGCTCAATAGATTGCGCACCTAAGTAGTAGTACCAGCACCAGTTCAAAACCAGGAAATATTTGCACACACATTGATGAAGTACATCAAATCTCAAATACATTTATGAAAATCTCTGTCACCAAATTTATTAGATTACAGTTTATATCTTATGAGAAAGGAAGTAAAAATATAAAGAAATGCACAA